TGAACTGAGCCAGTTAATATATGCATTGCTTCACAGACTATTTTTTTGTAATAAGAACACAATCTATCCTTAGCTATTATCAAAAATATAACATATTGTTATTAATTAAAGCCATTGTGTTGTACAATAGATCTCTGAAACTTTTCTCATAATAGAGAAATATCTTGCTATTCAGGGTTTCTATCAGAGGCAGAGAAACAAAATGTGGACCTTGATGGCTGTGCATCTCAAGGAAGATAGGAAGGAGCCTGTTTCTTTGTGAAAATAAAGACTGTGCCTCTGGTTTCACTTGCAAATCCTAGAGCACTTTATTCATTTATTATTTATTATTATACATTATTTATTATGGTGCTGATACAGTAGCCACCAAAACGTCTCATGGGCATTTTGAAGTTTTCTGCCCTTGATTAATATGTTAATAGTAAGACTCCCCCCTTTTTAACTAAAACACACAAACACATACACACACACACACAGAGCAGAGCTGGGGGTGTGGCTCAATTGCATGAGGCCCCAAGGCCCCAAGCACAACCCCCTGTAAGTTTTATAAGTAAATTATTTTATAAGTAAAAATAATATATTGTAAATATATATATATATATATATGTAAAATATGTATATAAGTTAAATAAGTTAAATAAATATATTGTAAAATATATTTATTTTACTTGTAAAATAACTAAAAAATAATAACTGCAGCAACAACAAAATAAAACCTAGCTTTATATTTGTATAAGACAAACCTATAACTTTTTATTTATTTATTTAATATTAATTTATTTTTTAGGTGTAGATAGACACAACACAATGCCTTTATTTTTATGTGGTGCTGAGGATCGAACCCGGATCCTGCCCGCGCTAGGCGAGCGCTCTACGCTGAGCCACAATCCTAGCCCCGAACCTATCACTTTTTATATCATAGACTACTGAATTGTTTTATGTTTCTTAGAACAAGTATCATATTTTTATTAAAAAATTTAAAAAAAAAAGATGATGAGGGGCTGGGGTTGTGGCTCAGTGGTAGAGCACTCGCTTAGCACATATGAGGCCCTGGGTTCTATTCTCAGCACCACATAAGAATAAATGAATAAAATAAAGATATTGTGTCCAACTATAACTAAAAAATAAATATTAAAAAAAGATGATGAATGTTCAAGTTAAGAATTTTGGCTTGAGGGAGGATTTAGGACCAGATCACAAGGCTTGAACTTACCTCTGCTTGTCTTGGCAACCTTGGGGAACAGGTGAGTGCAGTGGTGCATGAGTTTCTAGAAGTGCTTCAGAAGGAAATTACCTTTTCTAGGCTGGGCAGCGGGAAGACTTAGTGCTGGGGAAGGAAGAATTGGCAGAGGGGCAAAGACAGGATACAGGTTCCATGCACACTACCTGGGCCATCTCCCTAGGGTCCTTGCACTGTTTGGGAGGTAAACATTCTTCTTCCCTTTTTTTTTTTAAGCAGCTTTATTTAAGTGTAATTTATATGCCATCAAATTTATATATTTTAATGTGCAATTCAAAGATTTTTAGCAAATTTATAGACTTGCACAATCATCACCAAAATCCAACTATAGAATGTTTCTCCCCAAAAGGTCTCTTGCACTTGTGTTGGGGTCACTCCTCACTCTCACCCCCAGCCCCAAGCAACCACTAATATGCTTCTGTCTTTTATGGGTACTTCATTCAAATGTAATCATATGACCCATCATTTTTTGCATCTGGCTTCTTTCACTGGACATGTTTTGAGTTGCATTCATGTTGTAGCCAGTATAACTTTGTTCCTTTTTAGCGAGTAATCATATCCCACTATAGAGATAAAGCACATTTTGTTCTCCATTCACCAGTCTGTGGACATTGGGTGGTTAACATTTTTTGACTATATATAAACAATGTTTACATAAATAATATAATGTTTATATTATAAACAATGCTGCTATGAATATATGTATATAAGTCTTTGCAGGGATGTGTGTTTTTGTTTCTCTTGGGTAAATACCAGGAATGGAACTGCTGGAGTGTGATAAGTCTATAATGCATTGAGAAACTGCTAAACTGTTTGCCAACACGGCTGTACATCTTACATCTTCACTGGCACAAGGGCTCCAGCTTCAAGGCAAGTCTCAGCTCCAGCTTCTCCCTGCCAACCCCTTCCCATTCTCAGATCATTCTACCTGCTTACAGGGCTGCCAAGAGGAGAATGGCTTGTCAAGTCATGGCAGGGAGTGACAGAATCAGGGTTTGGAACCCAAATTTCCCTGGCTCCATGGTCCTTCCTGCTTCCATCTTTGTGCTTTCTCGTGGACTTTAGCAAAAAGTAGAAGTTGGAGTCTCTGAAGCTGATCATGGAGTCTGCCCAGGTTGAGGTTGCAGGATGTAGAAAAAGAATTTGGGGAAGTGTGAGAAGGGATTGGAGGAGGGTCAGCAGCCCAAATGCACTGGATTCCAGCAGTGGCCAGCCCAGGGAACTCAGTCCCAAACAGGTGGGGGGTGGAGGATGTCTTCTACCAATACAGGGCTGTTGATGAGTGACCTCTCTTTTGCCCTCCCCTGGCCCAATCTGCATTTCCCACAGACTGTCACCTTCCTGCCTCATATATACAGAGGCATGCTGCCCCCACCCCCGCCTCTGGAGCTGGAGATTGTTGAACCCAGAGATGCTCTATCACTGAGCTACATCTCAGCACTTTTTACTTTTTTATTTTATCTTATTTTTTAGGTGTAGATGGACACAACACAATGCCTTTATTTTTATGTGATGCTGAGAATCAAACCTGTGTCCCGCCCGTGCTAGGCGAGTGCTCTACCGCTGAGTCACAATCCCAGCCCACTTTTTACTTTTTATTGAGATAGGGCCTCAATAATTTGCTTAGGGCCTTGATAAGTTGCTGAGACTTGCCTTGAACTTGTGATCCTCCTGCGTTAGCCTCCTGAGTATCTGGAATTGTAGCCATAGGCATATTCTCTTCTCTTATTTGGGTCTGGATATGTCCCCTTGTCCCCAACACTTGGCCCTCCAGAAGAAGAGAAATGGTTTGTCCTAACTCTGACCCCAGATATTACCTCTTTCTGCCAACCTCAGAGTCTGCATGCAACTTGTGAGTATCAAAGAGAAGGGATGAGGGCATCCAGCCCTCTAACTTGGATAAGGACCAATGACAGGGCATCCTGTTGTGCTGATACCCTTGGTTATCTGTGGAGTTCTGCTTCCTCACATGTTGAAGTTTGAACATTAGAGAAGCACGCCGAGGCCAGCATATAAAGCAGAGTTTATTTAAAAAGGGATAACATAGACTTCTTCTGGGAGGGAGAAGGAGGCCATAGCTGGTATCCTGGTATCCCAAGAAGCGAGAGTGCTTTGCCTTTTTACACACCTAGTTTTCCTTTGTTCTCCTGCCTCTTCCCCTTATCTTTCTCCTTCCTGCATACTGACTAGGCATTTGACTTGGCCCAGGAATGCTCGGGTGGGCTGGCCAAAAGGTAGGAAACAGGTGGGCTGAAGGAGGAAGGGCAGAATGGAGCAGCCCAGGACACATTAATTAACAACTTTATAGCTCCCTGTAGGAGGGGCAATCCCTGGGACAGGTTACCTTAGCAACAGGTTGGAGCAGGGGGAGATTCTTGATAAGGGTGAAGGAAGGGCTCTGAAGGAAGGAATATTTCACTCCCTCAGGGGACAGTCTCCAACTTCCCAGGACTCACTCAAAATTGGCCTAACTAGATCTGACCTGACTCTATTTACCTATCTATACTGACTGCCTGTCTAATTCTGGCTTCAGTGCCACCTCCAAAATGGATAACTGGTGGGGGTCTGGCCAGCAGAAAGCAGTGCAACCCCATTTGTCCTGGCCAACCTTGCCCCTTCCTTTCTCTGTGGTCATCTTCTAGGATGACCATCTTTGCCCCAGGAAAGGAGACCCAAAGGCTCCAGATCACTCATCCAACCTTCCTTTTTTTTTTTTTTTTAACTTTTTTTAATTTATTTTGATGTGGTGCTAAGAATCAAACCCAGAGCCTTGCACTTGCAAGTCGAGCACTCTACCACTGAGCCATAACCCTAGCCCCAACCTTCCTTTTTAAACAATTTGAAGAACTTGGAAAAGGAGGAAGAAGGAAAGTGCATTTACTGAGCACCAACTATATACCAGGACTCTTTGATGTACACCATTTGTTTCAACCATCAAATTGACCCTGAGAATGGGATCTTCACCTTTCCCCTGAGGAAACAGACTCAGGGGTGAGATTCTGGCCTGAAATCTCACATATTAAACTGCCAGTCTGTGTCCCCATCTGCCATACAGAGTAAGAAAGCCACAAAGGCTGGGTGGTGCCTCAATAAGTGTCCCAAGTATGGGCTGAAGCATCAGGCACACCTGTGTTGGAGTCCTGACTCTGCCACTCCTTGGTGTGTGACCTTGGGCAAGTGCCTGGCCTGTCTGAGCTGCAGCCGCTCATCTGTGAATGGGGCCTCTCCAAGCCCATCCTATGAAGCCTGGGTGAGAGGGTTCAAGAGAGGCGGAATGAGCAGTCTGCTGCTCTTACTTTCCAGCACTGAAGACTTTACATGTTAGGAACCAGGACCTGCTGGTCTCCAGCCCACCACCCCCAAGGTCCTTGGGATGCTCTCTCTCCTTGATGCTCTGACCTTCTGTCCAACTGAACCTGTCCCCACCCATTCCCAGAAAGCAAGAAAACCCTGGAGCTCTGACAGTCCTACTCTTCCCAGACAGTGCAAGCTCCGCTGCCAGCCACCCAAACTTGGGAGGCAAACCCCAGCTGGGGTGAACGAGGTCTGGAAGTTCAGCGTCCCTAGGGCCCCCAGCTCTCCTGTAGCCATTCCCTCTCCTCTTCCTTGCTGCATCCCTAGACTCTGCTCATCCTTGAGGGCTGAGTCTCACCTCCTCCTCTATCACCAGTAGGGCAGGGAAGTTCTTCCCAGGACAGGAGCAGTTCCCCTGGAAACAACCCCAAAAGAGCCTGACCAAGCTGTGGTCTCTTCCCTGCAGAAGAAGCACTATGGACGACTAGGGCTGATGGGCGAGTCCGCTTGCGCTTGGACCCCTGCTGCCCACAGCTTCCCTACACCGTGCACCGGATGTTCTATGAGGCCCTGGACAAATATGGGGACCTCAATGCTCTGGGTTTCAAGCGCCAGGGCAAGTGGGAGCACGTCTCCTACTCTCAGTACTACCTGATTGCCCGCAAAGTCGCCAAGGGCTTCCTGAAGGTGAGGAGCCCCTCAGAGCATGTCCTTTCCTCTCCCCAGACCTGCCTTCCAGCTTGGGCCCTCAAAGGCCTCCTCCCTGACTCCCTGCCAAAGGAGGCCCTTAGAAGTCATAATCTTAAAAAACATCCCCATTCATTGAACGAATACGTTGTGCTGGGACCTCTACTGAGGATTTCATATCTATTGAGCCTTCCTCATGTACCAGGAACTCCATAAAGCTTTACATTTGATATCACATTCAAGGAGGCCTGGGAAGCCTCGTGTGCTGGGCTGGATTCCCTAGGAAAGCCCTGGGAGGGGGCCACAAGGGTTGTTGCGTGATCCCCCAGGGGGATCTCTGACTAAGATAAACCTGCAGAGTCCCAGGGCACAGGGGAGGTGGGGTGAGGCCCCCTTCACTGTCTGGCTGACCTATACTGTCTGCCTTTGACCTGGAGCTTGGCTTGGAGCGAGCCCACAGCGTGGCCATTCTCGGCTTCAACTCCCCAGAGTGGTTCTTCTCTGCAGTGGGCACAGTATTTGCAGGGTAAGTGGCTGGGTAGGGGTGGGTGGTGTCTGCAGTGGGTTGGTGGTAGGCAGAAAGTAGAAAAAAGATCACTTTCTCTTTGTAGCGGTCCCCCACTCCCAACATCCCTTCTCTCCCTGGGACCTTCCTCTTGTCCCCTCTCTGCCAGAGGCAGCTGTGCTGAGATGACAAGGGAACCCTGGCTGCTCTGGCCATGGAAGCTCTTTAGGGCCCGGGGCTACAGTTATGGGGGAGTGAAGGCCAGGGGATGCCCCCTTGGCACCTGCCCAGATATGAATCCTCCCGGATCTCCTTCAGTGGCATTGTCACCGGCATCTACACGACCAGCTCTCCTGAGGCCTGCCAATATATCGCCCGTGACTGCCGCGCCAACATCATTGTGGTCGACACACAGAAGCAGCTGGAGAAGATCCTGAAGGTTTGGGGGAACGGGGAAGTGGGCATGGGGTCAGAGGCTGGCTGTTCTCATGGACCTCTACTCTAGCCTACCAAGGATGCTCCCCGCTCCCATCCAGAGTCTCCCCTGATCCTCAATAGCAACTCCGATCTCCCACGACCTACACCCGTGCATGGAGCAAGCGATAGTTACCTACCCATTTGATAGGTCAGGAAATTTAGGTCCACAAAGCTAAAGGGACTAGGTCACTCAGGAAATGAGTGGTCAGGTCTTAGACTAGGACTCCTGGCAGCCCACTGCCTCCCATAGCTTCCCTTCTCAGGACAGGGTCTCCCCAGAAGGGGAACAAGAGTGGTGGGCAGTGGGGCCCTCTGCTGGTGGAAAGGATGTGTGTATGAGGGCCGCTCTGGGCTCTAACAGCTTGAGCAATCCTGTCTAAATGGGAATGGGGATGAGGGCTGCCTCAGGGTGGGGGTGACGCCAAGTCAGAGCAAGCACCCCAGTGTCTTCCAATGATGGGCAATGGCAGGAGCTCGAAGTACCTCTTGAGCCAGCTGGATCTTTTCTGGAGCATTGTCAATTCTCCCTAATTCATTTAAAGCCGGCCAGTGACTGGTTCCATCCCACATGCTCCATTCTGGGCTGCAGTGGCCTGGTGACGCCTATGTGCCCCAACTGCACCCAGAAGCCTGTGAGGTCCGCCAGGTCTCCCTGCATTCCAGAGGAGAGTTCAGATGGATTTATTGGCTTGGCTCTGATTTTGAAGATGTCACCTGAGTCTCAGTCTCCCCATCTGTACCTGAAGGTCTAGTGGTCTCCAACCTTCCAGGACCACAGGATTTCCAGAGAGGCTAGGGTGGGTGCTTTCCCTCATCCTTAGTGGGAAGTCTCCTCAAATCCGAAAGAAAAACAAAAACAAAAACACAGTCTGGAGCCAGTCACTCCTATATAGATGGCAGCAAAATTCCTTCCCAGGACAGGCTCAGGCTATGATCCAGATCTTCGGGGCAATATTTCTTAGAAGGCACTGTCCATCTCCAAGAGTCTTTCCATCTTGCAAAATAAACTCTGTACCCATTAAACAGCTCCCTTTCAAAATAGTTAAAAAAGAGGATTTTGAAATGTTCTCACCACAGGAAATGATAAATGTTTGAGGTGATTATTATGCGAAGTACCCTGATGTGATCCTTACACGATGATTACATGTATCCAAAAAGCACATGGTATAATTATCATGTGTCAGTTTTAAAATTTTAATTAAAAAAATAACCCCCAAAAACAAAAACTCCCCATTACACCTGCCCCCATCCCCTGGCAACCACTGTTCTGCTTTCTGTTTCCCCACTGATTATCATTTTACAGTTGATTTATTTGAATCAGGCTCTAAAGCAGGCCCACACATTGCATGTGGGGTGTCTCTTAGGTGGCTATTAATTAAGAGCAAAGCATTGCCTTTTATTTCCCATGGAATAGTGTTGTCCCCAAATTAGCATTGCATGGGAACTTTCCAGAAAAACAAGTTTTCAGGCCCCACCCAGGTCTGGTGTGGGGCTGGCCACTCACAGGAACATAATTTCTTAGCATCTTCTACTCCAAAGACTTCATCACCGAGTCCGCCAACAGCAAACACACCTATACCAACCTTGACCACTACCAGTCATGCTCACTGCTGCTTCCCTCACAGCTGTTCAGAGGACACGCATCATTTCCTTCCCTCTACTAGGACACCATTTTTAACATTAGTTTGTATTAATGAAAATAGCTTTTTATTAATTAACTCAGTTAAGCATCTCACAATTGGCATCATTTTTGCTGGCATCTGCATCTTCAGTAACATCACCCCCATAACCGTCCCATTTATACCTATATCACCCTACTTACCATAGACAGTTCTAGTAGTTAATACTTTAGATTTTACCATTGCCATAAATCTCCACCTGCTGACCTTTAATCTTAAACAAATCTTAATCAAACCCTACTCTAATGTCTCTAAATTTTCAAATCTTCTAGGATTCTTTCCAACAATTATCCACCACCTACCACCACTCCTAGATACTGGACTTAATTAATTGACTAGAAAAAATAACCCCCAAATCTGTCTCCCACATTCAAATTATAGCTTCCACCTTCACCTGTAATCAAAAGGGACTAATTAAATTTTACTTCTTATCATTTATACTCTCTATAATCTTAGTCTCAACACTTTTCCATGAGTAATTTTAATCACAATGAAAATATAACAAAGATCAACCAGTTACAACTATTACCCAACTTCCATAACTATACAGTGCAGCCACACCCATAGAATCTTCATGAGTGAAACCAAGTTCTTCACCCTCAAACATAACCCAATCCTCTAAATTCTTTTTTTATATATATTTATTTTTTAGCTGTAGTTGGACACAATATCTTTATTTTATTTATTTATTTTTATGTGGTGCTGAGGATTGAACCCAGGGCCTCACACATGTTAGATGAGTGCTCTGCCACTGAGCCACAATTCCATCCCCTAAATTCTTTTTTTTTAATTTTTATTTATTTGTTTGTTTATTTGTTTTTGTGGTGCTGGGGATTGAACCCAGGGCCTTGTGCATGCTAGAAAAGCACTTACCAACTGAGCTATAACTTTTTAAATTAAATAACAATTTCCATTTCTTGACAAATTACAATTATTAATTCCATTAAAAATCCCAACCACAGGGACTGAGGTTGTGGCTCAATTGTAGAGCACTTGCCTGGCACATGTGAGGCACTGGATTCGATCCTCAGCACCACATAAAAATAAAGGTATTGTGTCCATCTATAATAAAAAAAATTTTTTAAATATACGCTAAATGAAAACTTTGAAAAAAAATCCCAACAACAAAGCACCTCAAATTATCATATCAGACCCTCTAGTTTCAGGGTACTCTTCCATAGCTATAGCTGTACTATACCCAAATATTACATTCCCCTTAAATAAATTTAAGAGACTATTAATCCTATAAACGACCCACCAAAATATACACAATCCCACAACCAATCCTCCCTGCACTAATAATTAAACTCAACCTACCATGAATTGGTGAGGTTTTGAAGAAGATCTTGTTGTGGGGGGAAGTATACTTAAGGGCTGGGGCTCAGTGGCAGGACACCCCATAGGTAGCACATGTGAGGCACTGGGTTTGATCCTCAGCACCATGTAAAAATAAATAAATAAAATAAAGGCATGCTGTCCATCTACAACTACAAAAAAAATTTTAAAGTATACTTAATAAAAATACAGTATGTGTCATTATTTTCCATGGAATCCAACCATGACTAATGACATGAAAATCATCATTGTTATTCAACTATAGAAACTTTAATAACTAACATTCAAAAAACCTACCCCCTAATCAAAACTATCAACCACTCATTCACTGACTTACCAGTCCCATGTAAAATCTGGGCATGATGAAGTTGTGGCTCCTTCCTAGGAGTATGCCTCATCATTCAAATTCTCATGGCATTTTTTATAGCCATAGTTATAAGTCCAGTGCAATAACTCCATTTTCTTCTACCACCCACATTTTCTGAGATATAATGTATGACTGACTTGTTTGATATCTACATGCAAATAGAGCCTCCATATTGTTTATCTGTTTATTCTTACATGTAGGCTTAGACTTTTACTACGGCTTTTATACCTATTTTAAAACATTAAATGTCATCTGGGTGCAGTGACACACACCTGTAATCCCAGTGACCTGGGAGGCTGAGGCTGGAGGATTGCAAGTTTGAGGCCAGCCTCAGCAACTTAGTGTAGACACTGTCTCAAAAAAAAAAAAGTCTTTCAACCCCCAAAACCAAAAATAAAATAATAAAAAATTTTTTAAAATATACGCTAAATGAAAACTTTGAAAAAAAAATCCCAACAACAAAGCACCTCAAATTATCATATCAAAACCAAAAAGAAAATCAACAACATGACATATCAGAATTGTTCTTTATTCACAGTAAATAGCAACAGAATTTGTAGGCTACATACTACTGTAAGGACAAGTATCCTTCCGAGGGGAACCATAATTACTAATCTCTCAGCTATTGCTTACAATAGAACTAGTTTAGAATAAATCTGAGGTAGATTTTTTGTAGATAAAGCAACCAGAACACAAGTCTTCATATTCGAATTCATTTTACCATTCATTATTACAGCCTTAGTAATAGTTCACCCATTATTCCTTTATGAAACAGAGTCAAGCAAATTCTATTTCACCCCTGTTGCCCTATTAAATATATTCTAGGACTACTGTGTTTAGCCAGCCCTTCTGGGGTTCTGAAGCATACTGGAGGTGAGAACCTCTGCTGTAGAGGTGCTGCTGAAGCCAGGTCAGCCATCTTGCAGAAGGCTTCACGGTCTGGATGTGTCTTCTCTTGCTGTCCTTTAACTTGTTCCTGTAACCTCTATATTTCCTAAGGGAAAATGTTTCAGATGAGAATTTTTCTGGCAAGGACACCCGCTAGGTGGCGCTGTGTACTTCATAATGCTGGGCCTCAAGCGACTCAGATGTCAGGTGCTAGCATTCTCAGCGATGCTGAGCAACAACCAAGTGGTGATCACCTGCTCTTTCATTGCGACATTCCCCAGGAACCTTTCCCTGATGCTTTTAGCATCCATTGGTTTGCTTTGGCTGAACTAATTATTTCATGAGGGGTGGAAAATGTTGATTTGCTGGTGATTTGATTTGCTAATGCATCAGCCAGAATTATTCTCCAAAAGAAGAACTTGCTGTCTCCTGAGGCTCCTTAGTACCTGAAATACTGTTTGCACAGAGCAGGTGTGGTAGAAGAAATAATGGTCCATCTTGGCAATTGTTCCATGAGGATTAGAAAGAATATGTTATTTCATATTCTATAAATATTAATTATGTTGATCTGGTCTGTGGTTTATAATGTTATTCAAGTCTTCTGTATACCTATGGATTTTTCACCTGCTTGTTCCATCAAACACTGAGAAAGGGGCTGGAGGTGTAACTCAGTGGTGGAGAGACTGCTCAGCATATGTGAGGTGCAGCGTTCCATATCCAGCACAAACACACACAAGAACAAATCCTGAGAAAGGGAGTGTTGAAATCTTCTGTTGTTATTTTGGATTTATGTATTTTTGTCATTCAGTTATACCAGTTTTCACCTCACAGATTTTGGAGCTCTGCTATTAGACATGCACATATTTAGATTGTTATGTCCTTGATGAATTAACCCTTCCCTCTCCATTGTAATAATTCTGGTTTTATTTATTTATTTTTTTTAAATAGGGTAGATAGTGTTTTTTATTTATTTTTTTAAATTATTTTTTTTTAATATTTATTTTTTTTTTAGTTTTCAGCGGACACAACATCTTTGTTTGTATGTGGTGCTGAGGATCGAACCCGGGCTGCACGCATGCCAGGCGAGCGCGCTACCGCTTGAGCCACATCCCCAGCCCCCAATAATTCTGGTTTTAAAACTACTTTGCCTCAAGTGATGTGGACATTCCAGATTTCTTATGATTAATGTTTGCATGGATACATTTTTAAAATATTTTTTAGTTGTAGATGGACACAATGTCTTTATTTTTATGCCCGTGCTAAGGATCAAACCCAGTACCTCACAAGTGCAAGGCAAGTGCTCTACCGCTGAGCCACAACCCCAGCCCTGCATGGATACATTTTTAGATTTCTTTTATTTTTAACCTAGCTATGTCTTGTAGGCAGCATATAACTAGGTTATTTCCTCTGTTTCCCATTTGCTCTTCTTTCCTTCCATCTTTTCTTTTGAGGTCCTGGGGCTCAAACCCAGCGTCTCGCACATGCTAAGTAAATGCTCTACAGCTGAGCTACAATATCCCAGCCCTGTTCTTTTTTCATTTTCTCCCTTTTCCTGTTCTGTATTGAGTTTTCGTTTTGTTTTAGTATTCCATTTTATCTCCATTGGCTTATTAGCTATCCTCTATATCATTGTTTGCTGTAGACTTTACAATATGCTTGCTGCTTTTTTTTTGTTTTCAGTCCTGGGGATTGAACCCAGGGTGCTCTATTACTGAGCTACATCCCTAACCCTTTTTATTTTTTATTTTGAGAGATGGTCTCACTAAGTTGCTTAGCCTGGCCTTGAACTTGTGATCCTCCTGTCTCAATCTCCTGAGAAAATATACATCTTTAATTTATCACATTATGCTTTTCTTTTCTTTTTTCCTTTCTTTTCTTGTTTTCTTTTTAGGATAGGGAGGTTTACCAGAGATTGAACCCTGGATCTCACACATGTTAATCACACACTCAACCACTAGGCTACATCCCTAACCCCCATTATGGTATAATCTTTTTTTTTTGGGGGGGGGGCATGTACCAGAGATTGAACTCAGAGGCACTCAACCACTGAGCCACATCCCCAACCCTATTTTGTATTTTGTTTAGGGTTGCTTAGCACCCCAGCACTGTTGAGGTTGGCTTAGAACTCATGATCCTCCTGCTTCCACCCTCCGAGCCACTGGGATTATAGGAGTGTGCCACTGCATCCAGCTACTACCATTAAATATCACATCACTTCACATGTAATGTGGAACTCACAAAACATACTGTTGTTCCTCTATATCTGTGGTTCAACCATCCTCATATGGAAAAATTGGAGAGGAAATGCATCTGTACTGAACATGAACAAACTTTTTCCCTTGTCATTATTCCCTAAACAATACAATAATAATAATAATAATAATAACTATTTACATAGCATTTACATTGTATTGGGCATTATAAATCATATAGAGATTATTTAAAATCTGTGAGAGGATGTGAAAAAGTTACACACAATAGCATGCCATTTTATGTAAGGGACTTGTGCATCCTTGGGTTTTGGTATCCTCCAATACCAGGGAGTCCTGGGCAAAATCCCCTTCTGATGCAGAAGACCATAGCACTTCCACTCCCCCGTCTTTATCATCATCCACGGTACTTCCATATAGCTTGTAAACCCCAATACATTGGTACTATTCTTGCTTTAAACAGTTGAATATCTTGTGAAGAAATTTTAAAAGAAGAGGGTCTTTTACGTTCACCCACATTTTTGCCATTCCTGACCCTGCCTTCCTTGTGCAGATCCAAGTTTTCATTGGATATTGTCTTCCTCCTGACTGAAGAACTACCTTCAACATCCCTTGCTGACATTCCAGGCTGGATGTCAACAGATATCCTCAGCGTCTCTTTGTCTGAAAAGTGTTTATTTTTTCCTTCATTTAAGAAAAAAATAATTTCATCTGGTATAGAATTCTGGGTTGACAAGATTTCCTCTTTTCTTTCAGCATTTTAAAGATCTCAGTCCCATTTTCTTGGTTTTTGGTATGAAGTCTGTGAGTTCCTATCTTTGTTCCTCTCCACAGAATGTGCCTGTTTCTTTTAAAATCACTAGTTTTCAGCAATTTGGTTATGTTGTGTCTTGGAGTAGGTTTTCTTGATGTTTATTTTGCTTGGGATTCTAGAATTGGTAGATTTATTGTTTTAATCCAACTTAGAAATTTCTCAGACTTCTTTTATTTTAAAATATATTTTGGGGGGTGGGGTTGTGGCTCAGTGGTAGAGTGCTCGCCTAGCATGTGTGAGGCACTGGGTTCGATCCTCAGCACTGCATAAAAAAAATAAATAAACAAAATAAAGGTATTGTGCCCATCTACAACTAAAAAATTTTTTTGAAAAAAAATTTGGGAGAGACTCCAGTTACATGGATGTTAGATGTCTTGATATTGTCCTACAAATAATTTTTCTCTTTTCTAAACTTCATTTTGAGGCATTATAGTACTGGTGTAGATAGCCTCTACCAAGGCTAATTTAGCCTCACATAGTAGACATGACCCTTCTGGGTCTCTGCTTAATGCCCCAGGAGGTCCCCCATGACTGGTTGATGGAAGCTTGAAGAATTCCTAGGTGCCTCCTTGTTTGTCTTGTCGGTGGAGTCCTTAGCTTCCTCCAGCCTCATGGATTTTCCCCTTATGTCTGTGCAAGTAGATAAGACTCTGCGTAATGCTGAGTCAGGACAATGTAGGACACTACGGTAGGGTAGTGTGTATACCCTTGGGTGATAGATGGGGCTATCTGGGCCCACCCAGCTTACCAGAGCTGGCCATGAACACTGCTCAAGAAGACCCCTAGAAATATTTCTGGAACTTTCTCTATATAGTTCTCTCCCCTCTGGTGTAGTGTCTCACACATTTGAGCCACCTTGACTTTTCTGAGCTCTGATCTAATTTTATATATATATATCATGAGTTCACAATGATAGTTCTGGATTCAAACATTACATGGAAGGATTTTAACTTACTTTCTTTGATTTATTCTTGCATTTCTTTTATCTGACCCTAAAAATCCTACTTCCTAATTACATCAACCTAATTTTATGGTATATATCAAATAATTTCCAAATAATAATGTAGATATTATTCCCAACAATAAGACTACAGAATGAAATTTGGAATTCTCTTTTGTCCTTAGAGTGCATTCCACTAAGAAAGAAGAATCAAAGTGCACCGTTTTAAATCCCTTCATGTAATTTTCTGTGTGTCTGTGCTCATGTGCTCATATGTGTGCATATACATGATTGTGTCACCAACTTCGTCTATAATCTTAGTTTCTTTCAGATTGTTTTTGACTCTTAGAGAATTGTTGTTTCCATCTTTTACATAATTTTATTTTTCAAATGATTATAATATTTACATGATGACAAAATCAAAATTCTATGAGACACTCAAAGAATTCTTGCCCCCCTGCTTCTTACCCCTGTTTCTTTCTCTGCTTATACTTAGTCTGTTAGTTTGGGGTTTAACCCTCCAGGGTTCCTTTTGACAACATAAGCAAATACATATTTGCGCATATATATATATATATATATATATATATATATATATACATACATATATTCATATATGTTCGCGTTGTATTCCTTTCTTATACAAAGGTAGCATGCTACATGCTTATTGTACACATTCTCTTTGTCAGTAATATTTTTAAAAAACCCACTCTATACCAGTGTTTAGCACTGTCCCTCTCTAACCTGTGGTTACCTAGTGCTCCATCGTGCAGCTGGATCATTGTATTCACCCAGGTCCTATATCATTTGGTGGTTTCCCCTGCCCCCGCCTGTCCCCACTGACACTGCTTCCAAGTTCCCATGATGTAAATCTATGGACAAAGGGTGGCAATTGTTCTGCTGGGGTCAAAGATCAGAGATAGGGAACCCAGAGACTTTTGTCACACAGTGCCTGCCAAACAGACTGTTGCTGGTGGGAGGATGGGATTTCTTTTCAGAAAGTAACATTTTTCTTGCTGAAACCTGGTTTGCTTCCCCTGTCAATACAGATCTGGAAAAATTTGCCACATCTGAAGGCAGTAGTGATATACGGAGAATCTCCTTCAAAGAAGATAACCAATGTGTATACGGTAGGGTAGTGTGTATACCCCTGGGTGACAGGTGGGGCTGTCTGGGCCCACCCAGATGATCTGGACTGGTTGCTCTTCCCCACCTGGCCACAGATGGAAGAATTCATGGAGCTGGGGCGTGAGATATCCGAAGAGACCCTGGACACCATCATTGATGCTCAGCAGCCCAACCAGTGCTGCGTACTAGTGTACACGTCGGGCACCACTGGGAACCCCAAGGGCGTGATGCTGAGTCAGGACAATGTAGGACAGATGGCAAGATGGGTGGCTTGGGTGGCTCTGTCCCAATAACTTCTGGGGAGGTCCTCAGCTCAGGGAGCTGGGATAAGTAAGAGCTCACAGGTCTGTGGCCCAGACTGAACACAGAAATTGGGAGGGGAAAGAGTGAGGGGAGGCCTATCCCTGGAGGTTTGTTTCCAGGAACTGCAGAATGACCTGGGAGGGTATCCACTCAGTGGGTCCCCAAAGAAGTAGCTCCAAGTCCCCAGCATGGCCACAGCAATGTGAGCATTGCCAGAGCTGGCTGTGAACACTGCTGGGGCCCATCTGCCTGCCCTCCAGATCACGTGGACAGCACGATTTGGCAGCCAGGCTGGTGACATCCAGCCAGCGGAAGTCCAGCAAGAGGTGGTGGTCAGCTACCTGCCCCTCAGCCACATTGCTGCCCAGATCTATGACTTGTGGACGGGCATCCAGTGGGGAGCGCAGGTCTGCTTTGCTGAGCCCGATGCCCTGAAGGTCAGTCTGCCTCTCTGCCATGTGGGTGTCCAGTGTATGAGCAAGAGCATGCCTGATCCATACTCTAATCTGGGACCTTACGTGTACATCTGTGGGTCTGCTAGTTCCTTGTGCATTTATCTGACAGAATTCTCCCAGCTGCACATTGCATAGCCTGACTCAAATGACCAAACAAATAGGGAAACTGATGGCTTTACAGTAAGTTGAGTCAGAATGGTTTGCTGGGTCTATAGCACCATCAAGGAGACCTCCTCAGAGGAGGATCATGAGATGATCACAGGTGGCCACAGCCCCTCCCTGTATTCCCGCTGCATAAACTACACCTATTCTTTGGATCCTTATTTTAACCATGAGAAAAGTTTCCCAGAAACCCTTCAGCAGGCTTTCCTGACCCAGCATCATTGGCCCACACAATGCCACATGTCCTTAGGACCATGTTCAATCCTAAAGCATTAGCTACTCGGAGGAATGAGGTTATTAGATTTAAGTTAGACAAACAAAGAGTCACCAACCTCGGGGGCAGAAACAGACCAAGGTACTTCTGAAGCACCTGGCCATCTGGTACCCAAATGACACCAAGTTTCTATTGGTGGAGTGTGAGGGGACAATTGTTGAGCCACAGCCAATAGCCTGTGCTGCAGGCCGGGTGTGAGTGTGTGCACACATCTGTGTGCAGCAGCTGCGCTGTGTGGTGTGTGCACACCTGATCAGATGCAGGACCCGGCTGGCCCTGAACAAGAGGCCTGACTCTCCCAATTGGTGAACAGGGGAGTCTGGTGAACACACTGCGGGAAGTGGAGCCCACCTCCCACATGGGTGTGCCGCGCGTGTGGGAGAAGATCATGGAAAAGATCCAAGAGGTGGCGGCTCAGTCCGGCTTCATCCGTCGTAAGATGCTGCTGTGGGCCATGTCGGTGACCTTAGAGCAGAACCTCACCTGCCCTACCAGGTACAGAGGGCCAGGGAATAGGAGCCAGCAGGGCTGGCTCACTATCTATATACACCAAAGATCCAATAGGCTCGTCCCAGCCCCAGGGGCCTGAAAGTTCTGAGGACCCCTGCGCAGAGGCCACATCAACAAGTGAGACTTGCACTCCTTTACTCATTGCAGCCCTTATGGGGACAGTTGGCATCTTGGGTTCTGGATGGGAAGACTGTCTCCCTCTAAAGAGAAGTCCACCTTCCTGGCAGCAGCCCTACCAGTCTCCTGAGGTCCCTTGACCTCGATAGGTGGGGATAGAAGAGCTCACTGTTATGAAGGTTCATCCTTTCCAGCCTTCTCAGGCATCCCACACGGCCACTCAGACCTCTCCTTAACCCCCAACCCATGTGGTGTGAGTGTGTGTGTGTGTGTGTGTGTGTGTGTGTGAGAGAGAGAGAGAGAGAGAGAGAGAGAGAGAGAGAGAGAGAGAAAGAGACTGAGACTATGGCTTGAACGCTCTACCACTGAGTCACATCCTCAGCCCTTTCTTTTTTTGTTGTTTTGAGATGGGATCTCGCTAAGTTGCTCAAGGCCTCACTAGGTTGCTGAGGCTGGTTTTAAACTCGCAATCCTTCTGTCAGCCTCCCAAGCCTCTGGGATTACAGTACCTGGCTCTTTTAATTTTTTTATTTTGAGACAGGGTCTTGCTAAGTTTCCCAGGCTGGGTTCAAACTTGCAATGCTGACTCCCAAGTCTCTGGAATTGTAGGCGTACACCATCGTGTCTGGCATTCCCACGCTTTCTGATTGCTTTTTAAATTCTCACAAAGTACTGTTACATGGGTAACCATATAAATCTAGTGAGGTTTCAATTTCAAATAGCAATAGTTTCTGTTACCAGTATGTTTATGAAACAGTGTCATATTTCATGAGAACTGTGGACACATCTATGCACCTACAGCTTCATTTATACACATGAAGTGAATATGCGTGCAAATATCTGTGGATCTCAAATAGGATCATACTTGTGTGTATAATTATACCTGTGTGTCTGTGAATATAGACTTAAAATCTATGCATGTGTGTGTTATAGGGTTGCAAATTTGCATGTATCTGATTGTTGCCTGTGCATCTGTATACAGCTGAACCTGCTTATCTGATTTCCTGGCTCAAGGCATATTTGCCCAAAACTGTATGCATTTGCATCTTCATTCGCATACACGGATATGGCAGGGCCAATATTCAAATTATTTAACAACAGGTTCAGCATTGACATCAACAATTAGACAACCAGAATGGCTGTGCCAGTATATACACATGGAATACACCCTTTCACATGTCTGTGTGTTCCCTTTTTTCCATGGACCATTCTTCCTCTCCCACCAGTGACCTGAAGCCCTTCACAACCAGACTGGCAGATTACCTGGTGCTAGCCAAGGTCCGTCAGACACTGGGCTTTGCCAAGTGTCAGAAGAGCTTCTATGGGGCTGCCCCCATGACTGCAGAGACACAGCGCTTCTTCCTGGGCCTCAACATCCGCTTATATGCTGGTTATGGCCTCAGTGAGACCACAGGCCCCCACTTCATGTCCAGCCCCTACACCTACCGGCTATATAGGTGAGGTCCCAAGCTGCAATATGTACGCATGCCCGCATGTCCCTGTGCCTACCTGTTGAGTGCCCCAAGAGCTGGCTCTTCTTTCCACACTGGACATCTGGCCCCTGGGCTGGGAGCCTCCAAGAGCCAACATCATCATCTTGGGCCAGGCCCTTTGCTTGTCCTCCTTGGTGCAGTGGGGTCTTTTCCACCATGACATGTGGATCTATGGCTGAAAATAGCCTTAACAGCTCAAGTACCCCCTGAACAGGCTTCTCTTGATGAAGGAATGTCCTTCCCCCATTGCCTCCAGTAGAATGGGGTGTATTGGAGGGGGTCCCAGGAGAGCTGATGGCCAGGCTCCAGTTGAGGTGGGAGCCAGGGGTCAGGGCCAGCCTTCCAGTAGGCAAGGAAGGCAGTCAGGGCTGGGGAGTGGTGTGAAGGCTCGTCTGCTGTGCTCCGATTCCTCCCTCCCTGGCCGGCCTATCACAGCGCTCCAAATTCTAACATTAGCATTTCATTCATTTATTCACTGAAAAACCTTTAGCTGGCCCTATAGGCTCTAAGTCCCCCTTTAAAACCCCAAAACCCTGGCAGGGGATACCTGGTCATCAGTGAAGTTTGAGAGGTTGGGGACTTGAGGCTCCCTAATGGGATCCTCTGACCCCTCCTGCCCACCTCTCCATCTCAGCTCAGGTAAGGTGGTGCCAGGCTGCAGGGTGAAGCTGGTGAATGAGGACACTGAGGGCATTGGAGAGATCTGCCTGTGGGGCCGCACCATCTTCATGGGCTACCTGAACATGGAGGACAAGACGTGTGAGGCCATAGACTCTGAAGGCTGGCTGCACACAGGTGACACTGGCCGCCTGGACACCGATGGCTTCCTCTACATCACTGGGCGCCTCAAAGGTAAGCCCCCATGGCTGCAGCTGGGCACTGGAGGCCGCAGTGAGACATAAGAGAAATTCTGCTTCCACCATTATTCATACCTGCTACCTGCTACCTACCCTTATTACATGCCACACATTTCCTGACATAATTTTAGTCTATTTACTCTCCCCTAGGGCAGGGACTATTACTACCCTGCCTTAATGAGGACATCCAGAGAGGTTAAGTAACTTACCCAAGGTCACCTAGCTGGTAAATGGTAGAGGTGGATTTACATTTCTGAGAGAAACAAGGCAAGGGCAGGTGCAGTGGTGCACACCTGTAATTCCAGCAACTCTGGAGGCTGAGTCAGGAGGATAGCAAGTTTGAGACCAGCCTAGCAATTTAGTGAGACTTAAAAAAAAAATTTTTTTAAGATTTTTTTAAAAAATGAAAATGGGCTGGGGATGGAGCTCAGTGCCTCTGGATTTAATCTCCTATACCCTCCCCCAAAAGAGAGAGAGCAAAAAGGCAAGACCTTCAGAACATTCAAGGCATTAATCTTATATAGTTTTATATGCAAACATGGATGTGATAGAGAATAACACATAAATCAAATATTAAATTTAAAGTGAAACATTAGACTTCAAAGAATTATCCTGTGGAGAAAGGAAATTGGAGATCCCTCCACGGAAAGGTGTTTCCATCCTGTTGCCCAACTGGGTGTCATTCCCCTAGCACCGACAGGGGAATCCCATAGCCCCATTTCACAGGGGAAATTGTTGCAGGTAATAGAAATGCAATTTTTTTTGGTATGTTGGCCTCATATCAAATGACTTTGATGAATTCACATAGTAGTTCAGTACTGTGTGTCTTACTTTAAATTTTCTATGGACACAATTATATCATCTGTATATAATAACAGTTTTATTTCTTCCTTTCATCCCTTGTGAATTTTTCTTGCCTTATTGCACAGGTTAGCACCTCTCTCCAGAGGAATGTTGAACAGAATTGGCAACAGTCAAGTTGGGGGTGTAGCTCAGTGGTGAGTGTATGCTCACATGCATAAGGCACTGGGTTTGATTCCTAGCACTGAGGGAGAAAAAAAAAAGTGATGGTGGTTATTTGTTTTAGTCCTGATCTCAGAGGGAAACCTCTCAACATTAAGTATGTTTGCTGTGGATTTTTTATAGGTATTCTTTATCAGATTTAAAAAGTTTCTTTCCATATTTCATCTGCTAAAGGTTTTTATCACTAATGGTTGGGCAAAAGGATGCTAGAAGAGCTCTGAGAAGGGTGAGGTCAGTGTGGCTGGGAGAGTTGGAGAAGGCTTCTTGATGGAGGCAACGGAGCTGGACAGATGGGAAGGGAGGAGGACATACCGTGAGAGACACAAGGACAGCAAGAAGCACCATAGCAGGGTGGGTTTGGACTTTTGGAACTGGACTGGATTTAAATCTTAGCTCTACCACTTACTGGTATATGATCTTAGAAAAGTTACTGAACCTCTCTGTACCTTAGTTTCCTCATCTGCAAAATGATAAGACAGCCTCCCTCTTAGTCTTATTGCGAGGATTGAGTGAATGACTGTTGAAGCACCTAGCACGGTGACTGGTGCGTGGTGAGTGCCATGTGAGTGATGGAGAGGTGGTAAAGCACAAGGAAGGAGGGGAACAACACCAGCTATTCAGAGAATGGGGTGGGAGGCCTGTTTAAGAACAGAAGGGGCCTGGGGCTACACTGTCTGAGCAGGCAAAGGCTTGAAAGATGAGCTAAAGAGTGGGAATACTGGGTGGGCAGTTGTCCTCTGGGAAACTGCTGCCATCCCCCAGCAGGCACAAGGTGCTTTGGAGAGCCTGGCCTGCCTCTTCCTCCAGAGGCATCCCCAGCAGTGCTTCCTGCTCTCCAGCCTCCCAGGCTGTGACTCAGGTCAGGTCATATTTAGCCAGGGCACCTGGACTCTAGGCTAGGCTGCAGCCTGGTCTTGCTTCCCCAGAATTGATCATCACTGCCGGAGGGGAGAATGTACCCCCTGTGCCTATTGAGGAGGCTGTGAAAATGGAGCTGCCCATCATCAGCAATGCCATGCTGATCGGGGACCAGAGGAAGTTCCTGTCCATGCTGCTCACCTTGAAGGTATGTGTGGGGTGGACACTGCTCTGGAGGAGCAGCTGGTAGGTGCTCTGAGTGTTGGGCCTAGCAGAATCTGCATTCAGTCCAGGAGACATCTGGATCTCAAGGCTTTGTTCTGGAATCACTGCAGTCAGTGCCACTGGCACTCCGGGAGCAGTTATACACAGGTAAATTCCTCTGTCCCCAACAAGCCACTGAGAAGATCCTTTCCTTGTTACCAGTGCATTTCATTGTGCAAAGTGCTGCTGCCTACCTGCATTCCTTGCAGCAAGGAATTCCCTGCATTCCTGCATTCCTGGGCTCCCAGGGCTGCAGACAGGCAGGAGGATAGCCCTGTTTCACAGATGACTTCATTGAGGTCTCTCTCAGATCACTGTCCCTTCCACCACACCACAGAGCCCAACCTGGTGACATTCAGCTCATTATAGACCCATATCTCTGAAATAGCTCACAGTGGTCCACACCTCTGCTTTCAGCAATAAGACCTCCAAGACCATGGGTTGTGTCCTATAGAGCAAGGCTTGGTCTTCATCTGTCCTGTGGCTTTTCAGTGCACCCTGGACCCAGACACCTCTGACCCAACTGATAATCTGACTGAACAAGCTGTGGAGTTCTGCCAGAGGGTGGGCAGCAGAGCCAGCACCGTGTCTGAAATCGTGGGGAAGAAGGACGAAGCTGTGTATCAGGCCATTGAAGAGGGGATCCAGAGGGTCAATGCCAATGCAGCAGCCCGGCCCTACCATATCCAGAAGTGGGCCATTCTCGAGAGGGACTTTTCCATTTCAGGAGGAGAGTTGGGTAGGTTTTTCTTTTCGTTTTCCCAGGGGCTGTGTGGGAAGACAGTGGCTATGGCAGTGCTGGGAAGTAGCCGTGGGCAGTGGGTCTCAGACAAGGCTTTGGATGACACCATCTCTCTCCTGGGGAGAACAGTGATTGCTCAGTGCACGGACTTGTGGTTTTATAATCTGTAGAATATCCAATAGGCCCTGTGTCTATGGGTTCCTCAACCTATGAACTCAACAGACCACAAATGAAAAATTTCGGGAAAAAAAAAATTATGTCTATACTGAACATATACAGTACATGCTTTCTTTCCTGTCATTATTCCATAAACAATACAGTGTAACAACTATTTACACTGTATCTGGTATTTTAAGTAATCTAGAGATGATTTAAAATATATAGGATGTGCATAGGTTGTATGCAAATAGTACATCATTTTATATAAGGACCTAAAAACATTTTCAGACTTAGGTATTCAAAGGGGCTCCTGGAAACAATCCCCCATGGATACAAAGGCATGTATTCATTTAAGAGACAATTGCAATAAATTGAGGATCTGGAATGGGTAAGGTGCATGTGGTTTACACCACTTTATTAGGCACTGGAAAATGTAGTCTTTTCAACCTATTCCTGGAAGTGACATCACATCACTTCCTGTTTTTCATTGGTCACACAGACCTGGGTTCCCTGGAACACCGCAAGGGGTGTGATGCAGAGGGGGGCCCACTGTCTTAGAGGTGGGATAGTCAGCTGGTCCTCAATACCTGTCTGGCTTCCTGAGTTAGGGGACTCACTAAGTCTGCATCTTTGACATACACCTCAGTTATCAGAGCCTGGCTCTCATGCATTTCTTCCAATTCCTCTTTTAGGTCCCACCATGAAATTAAAACGGCTCATAGTTCTGGAGAAGTACAAAGATATTATCGATTCCTTTTACCAAGCGCAAAAAAAGTAATCAGGAGTCATCCCTGTGGTTTCTACTGAATAGATGGCAGGCTTTTCCAGCATTCTCCTGAGCTCTAGATTCTCTTCAATCTGGGCCTGGGAACTGTCAAAATCTATTATCTCAAGGTCAGGGTATGGCACTTTCATCTACAAATCTGAGAAGCCTCATGTGTGGATAGTTTAAATCCTGCTTAAGTAATTGTTTCATGTTCAGTTGACAAGTGAGATTGGTTCTCCTTCCAAAACTAAAGGGCTAATTTTTGGCCTTAGTTCCAGGCAGATTTAACAAGCTCACATAATAGGTCAACCAGTGACAGGCTATTGGGGAAGAAGAATGAGGGGAAGACAGCTTGTGCTGCTAGTGTGGGCTGCAAGGAAAGCAAAAAGTCATAGTTCACCTAATGGTCTGACTTACTCTGGAATCTTCTTGAACACTGCCAATGCCATTATCCATTACCAGGCACTCCTCTACCATGCACGCACCGACTTGATGCTTAATAAAACTGCTGCTGTATTTAATGTGTAATTTGAATATTAAACTTTTAACATAACTGTCAACAAGTACCTGAATTTTGTTTTTGGCGGGGGGGGGGGGGTCAATTGAGCAGGCTGGACAGAGTAGTATTTAACCCACAGGACTATATGCAACAGGCATGAGTGACCATTAGTGCACCATTAGTGCCCTGGAATAAACAAAGGTGCAGGGATAGGGTCAAGTGGAACCGCCAATTCTAGTGTTAGCCTGTAGCCACCAGGCCACCCCTTCCATTCTTAGCAACAAGCTGAGCCAAAATGCCCTAAGGCGCCTGACCAGGAAACAGGCAGAGAAGGCATACATCTCAATTGGTTTTGGAATTCTTTATTACCGTGAACCCAAGAGCCACTGATTATTAGCACATTCCAATAAAACAGAGGAAGCAGCAGCTTAAAACAAAGTAAAATACACATAAGATTATAAGTCTGGTTACAAGCTTAAAAACTGACCCAGACAGGGATATTTGTTGTTAAGAAATACCCTTGTGACCTGGGTACATTATGCAAAGCCACGGGTTTGCAAATTTACACAAGAGCCAAGGGAGGACATGAGTTGCATTTGGTATGGGGCCAAAGGGTAACTATTCATGCTGTAGCAGAAGAGAGGGGGCTGGGGAAAGAAGATGCCTGAAGGTCATAATCGGATAAGCCCAGGACCCATTATGGCATGATTCTGTCAATCAGCTAGAGCTGTCAGCTCCTGTCTCTGCAATGGCATCTTTTACTGGTGCTGTTGTGGCAGAGGGCAGTGATTTGGTGCTTAGAGGGAGGCGAAGGGGAAGCCACTGAAATGCAAAATCAAGAGCCAACATCCCAAGTTCCTTAACTGCAGCCAAAAAAGTGATCAGGCCACTAAGCAGTGTCACCTGGGCAGTACCAGTTGGAGTGCGGTCTGTTTCCAGACAGTGACATGCAAGAGTAAGTGTGCACAATGGTTAGCTCCTTGGCCTGAACTCAGGGTGTCAGTACAGGGGCTCATAAGCTGTGACAATTCATGACACATATGATGTGTCCAGTGAAAAAGAATTACTTTGCTTCACTAAGAGCTCTTGCAAAGAATATTAAATTTTAAGATTAACAAAATAATTGAATACACAATGCAGTTTTGGATTTGAACCCAATATATTATATATCTTATTAACAAAATTACATTGCTCATTATATATTTCTTGGATCTGAAATTTTTATTCATATTAATTCATGTAAAGGACAAATCTGTTATTTTCCATACCATCAAGGAATATATCATTTCACTATTTTGATATGAACTTTCCCAAGAATTTTCTCTTATGCCCATTTAGTTTTATGTCATCTTGTGCTATTATGCCAATATCCCAGTTTATTTTCATATACCAAAAAAAATAGGACTTTTGTTTAAAAAGTTAGATGTTTTCTCTTATTAATCTGTATCATAATATTTACAGTTGAGGAAAAATTATTTTAACTGAAGTGTAAAATGGTTAACAATGGCAAATGATACAGTCCATGTACAGTTTACAAAAAAGGTTTATCAGATAGACATTTAATAAATAAAAGAAATACTTGGAAAAAGTCCTTCGAAAACAGGCCTAGGGACATCACACCTGCATCCTTTGCACAGACTTTCCTAAGAAAAGGTCAGATCTAAAATGTACTCTGTCAAGGAACAAGCAAACCAAATGCACATATAATAGCAGGTATTCTAGAGAGAGGTTTATGCGGTGGTGTCCCTTGGGAGTGACTGCGGCTAGTGCCATCTGTAGAGGCATTAATTTAAATCTTTTACCCGGCGACAGATTTCTTCTGTGAAGTCTGAGCATTTTGCATTGCCTCCCAAATCTTTAGTTAAACTCTGAGGAAAGAAAAAGGCAAAAGTAAAAACATTTCCACATACTACACTAAAGCAAAGAATTTTTATTTAAAGCCCTCAGTGAGATGCCAACTGAGCAAGGAACTTGCCTGCTATAACTTGCTTAGTTCCTCATTTCAAAGTCATTCCATCACATGCCATCCACCCACCAGAAAGGCCTGGGAAAACCCAACTAGCTAGCATACACAAAAACACTAAAAAAATGAGCTGCTCCTGCTACAAAGGGAGTAACCAAGAAAATCTTCCAAAATTTTCCCTTTGTTCTTACATTAGACCCTAAGAAAAATAGTGCTTGATCATGGATATTTAAATGAAAACAAATCTAAACAAGTGGTTTCATGAAAAGTCCTTGGGGAATTTTTAAAGTTGAAAAAATTTTAGACAGGCTCTGATCTATTTTTGGAGGCTGAGAAACAAATACCAAGGAAATACTTAAATGACTAACTCTGACATTTCACTCTTTGCAAGAAAAATCTCTCATACAACCAATCTGTTTTCTAACAACTCACTCTCTTTAATATAAACAGATTTTGATATGTTTAATTATCTTACATCTGCATTCTACACAATTAAGAAGGTCTATTGTGTAAGTTAAGCATTTCTTTGCTGGGTTCTAGAACATAATTCTTCAAATATAGCTTCAGAAAAAAGACAACACCCCTAAAGTTACTGTCAGCTTATTAAAAACAAGCTTCAAGTTGAGAATGTGGTCCAGTGGTAGAGCATTTACCCAGCATGCAAGAGGCCAGAGGCTCTGGGTTCAAACCCCAGCACTTAAAAAAAACAACAACAAAAGCTTGCGTTTCTTATATTTTGACTAAAATGTAATCTCAAATTATAAGATTTTCTTTCTTTCCTTGTTTCTTATTAATGGGGTCAGCTTTGACAACATTATGCTAAGAAGAAAAGGAGCTGGCCAAGATCACACAGTTAACAACAGGATACCTGGGCTGGCTCCCATTGCTCTTTCCATTGCACACTGTCCATCAATGCTCCTTAACCCTGTTCAGATAAAGTGTTCAGATCCTCACCTCAGAAAATGCACGTGTGTGCACACATTTCAGGGAGCCCACAGTTAGAATACCTGTTTAATGCCAAATCTTCTGGTTCTCTTAAGAGCTATTATGTGTACCCTTCATGCAGATAATGCACATGAAAGAAATGCATTTTACCTAGCACAAGTAGGTCACATTACAGATACCTTTCCATCCTTAATTGTAGCAAAACACGCAGCCTCAATTCTTGCAGCGTGGTCAAAAAGTCCCATGTGGCGTAGCATCATCACGGCACTGAGCAGCAGGGCTGTGGGATTGGCCATGTCCTTGCCTGCAATGTCTGGGGCAGTCCCATGAACCTACACATCAAGAAAAGTAACATTAGCAAGAGAGAGACAAGAACAAGAAGACCTTGGTTGAGGATGAGCTCAGTTGTAGAACATGTGCTTCGCAGGCAGAAGCTCCAGGACTTGATCCCCAGCATGAGTAATAAAAAAAAAAATCAAGCTGCCTACTTCTGGGGAAGCTGGGGTCTCAATCATCTTTCCTCATCAAGAACAACAAAAAAAATTATTGAAAACTACTATGTGCAATTCTTCTGACACAGATCTTAGAAATAGGACTTGGGGTTGGCTCAGTGGTACAGCACTTGCCTAGTATATGCTGGGCCCCAGGTTCAATCCCCAATACCAATAATAAAAATTAAAGAATAAAAGGGGCTGGAGGGATGTAGCTTAGTAGTAGAGGGCTTGCTCAGCGCATGAGTGAGGCACTGGGTTCCATCTCTAAGTACTGAGGGAGAGAGGGAGGGAGGGAGGGAGGAAGGAAGGAGAGGAAGGAGAGGAAGAAAAGAAAAGCCTTGGAGAAACAGAGCTACTTTTTAATTTAATTTCAAAAAATATGGACCAACAATCTTTTTCCAGTCAATTTTTGGTAAAGTACTGTAAGTGAGGAAGGATATATAAAGATATATCTAGAGAGAAATGATCAAAAACAAGGCTATATAAAAAACAATATACAGGGGCTGGGGCTGTAGCTCAGTGGTTGAGCACTTGTCTACCATGTGTGAGGCACTGGGTTCGATCCTTAGCACCACATTAAAAAAAAAAACATACACAAAGTGTCATTTTTTTTTTTTACATTGGCAAAACTCCCAAGTTAAAGCCTATGCATACTGATAATCCCTCCCGAATTCTCATGCTAATCCAACCCCAACTCTGCTTATGTGTGAGGGTTCTTACCGACTCAAAGATGGCGACCCCGTTGGCTCCAATGTTGCCACTTGGGGTCACACCAAGACCTCCAATCAGTCCCGCACACAGGTCACTGGGGGCAGAAAAACATTTCAAAGGACATTTTAAAAAGAAACATCTCACCTCTAGCATTGAAATTTTAGTTTATAAATACTATTCACCACTAAAAGAACCAGGATTCCTTGGAGCAATGGCTGATTCCAGGCTAAGATTAGAAAAAGGCAGATAATCCTGGAGCAGCTTACTATGCCAGGAAGCAAAATGAGGCCCAAATAAGGGCTGAGTTCAAAGGACCCAGGAGCCATGGGGAAGCGAGCTTCCCTGGCCAAGTGGGAACAATCTGAGTATCAATTAGTGATGGCAGTCATGGACATGCCACTCAAGAAAACAGAAAACCATGAGTCCACATTGATATAAATAAGTAAACAAGTAATAAATGAGAAGGAAAGTTTATCTTTATATTAAAATGCCAACTAACAAACGTAGAAAGATGGGTCTAGAAAGTCACCATTTGGCCAACATCATATTTTTTTTTAGTTGTAGATGGACACGTACCTTTCTTTATTTATTTTATGTGGTGCTGAGACTTGAACCCAGTGCCTCACACATGCTAGACAAGCACTCTGCCACTGAGCTATACTCCCAGCCCCAACATCATATTTGTGTACAAGTGTGTGTGTGTGTGTGCACACGCTCGCATGCACACGCGTGCGAGAGAGAGAAATAGAGAGGGGAAGAAGAAAAAGGAGGAGAAAGGGAGGAAGTAAAAAGGGAGAGAAAGAGGAAAAGATTAAGTAAGGTAAAATGTTAACATCTGGGGGATCTAGGTGCTGACTATAAGGGAATTCTCTGTACTATTCATGTAACTTTACTAGAAAATCTGAAATTATGTCAAAAGGTAGTTGGTTCACCTCATGGCAG